TGTGCGTGCGGCGAGCTCTCTTCTCTAACCTCCCGCTTTGTGTTTTCTCTCCCAGCTCAGCCCGACCCCTGAATTTTTTGGCGAGGATCCGGGAGCAGGTTTCACCCCTCGTCGCCTCCCCCCCCAAACCCCCCAGCCTTGCCCGCGGCTCCGGCGAGGTTTGCAGGTAAGTCCGACCTCTCTTTCTTACTTCATCTTTCCTTGGAGATGGGGGGGGTAAGGTGGTCAGAAATACAGGGGAAAAAAGGAAAAAAAAAAAAAAAAAAAGGGGGGGGGAATGAAAATTAAAATGATGATAAAAAATTATTCTTTTGGGAAGGAGGGGGGGAATGAAAATTAAAATGATGATGAAAAATTATTCTTTTCGGTTGCCCGGAGGAGAATGCGGGGCTGCCCGGGGGAGGCCCCGGGCCGGGAGGAAGAGGAGGGAGATGGCCCCGGGGCCGAAGATTCGGCCCTCGGTGGGGCCCGGGAGCTGGTGGATGAAAAAAGGAGAAAGGGCCAAAACCGAGGGAACCGGGGGAGGCGATTCCTACCGTCCCCCCCTCGCCCGCCCGCGGCCGGGCCGTTTCCCGTGGGGTCGGGCGCGGAGCCGGTTGGCTCCTCCGCCGGCAGGTGCGGTTCTTCACCGCGATTTCGTTGGGAATATTCTATATATATATTTTTTTTTTTATTTATTTCTTTGATCTTTACTTATTCCCTGGCCCCAAGGTGGACTTTTAAAATTAGAAATAACCGGGAGGAAATGTCTCTCCCTTCTCTCGGCTCCAGCCCGAGAAGACCCCCCCCCTCCTCCTCCTCTTCCTCCTCGCGATGCGGAGACTCAGCAAAGTAATTTTGAAAAAGATTTTTTTTTTCTAATATATTTATTTTTGAGCACTCCCGGAGAGAACCGGGTTGGAAACAGCAGCGAGAAAAACCTTCAAAACATTTTGGGGCCGGAGCTTCATGGCTCGGCGCGGGTGAAACGGATGGCGAGAATGGCATCCAGGTCGGAGAGGGGCCGGAGCTGTTTTCCGCCTCCCTTATTATGATTTTTTGGTTTGGTTTGGTATTTTTTTAATATTTAAAAGCCATGGGAAAGCGCTTCCCAAAGACACCGCTCGGGTATAACGCGCACCGCTCCGCGCCCCGGCCCCTCCGCTCCCAATTGCACCGCGTTGACAAAGAGAAAAAAAGTCGGGAAAGTCTTTGCGCGGCGGCACAAGTTTCTTTAGAGTAAAAAAAAAAAAACAAAAACAACCACCAAACAACAAAACCCTCCCTCGCTGCCGAGATTTAGGTAGAGTCCGGCTCCTCCGAGAAGTTGAGCTTTATTATTTATTTCTTTGGAAAAGATGCGACTCTTTTTTTTTTTTTTTTTAAAAGGAGAGAGGGAAATTTAAAAAAAAAAAAAAAAAGAAAAAAGCGGTTTAAAAATGCGACGTGGTGACGGTGGGGAGGCAGAGATGGGTCAAACGGCTCGGCGGCGGAGGTCGCTCCCCGCCGAGCCCGGCTCCGTCGCTCCCGGCCAACCCTTTTCGTTTCCCGGCGCCAGAGAGGAGCCGGCGGGCGCGGAGCTGCGCGCAGGTTTGGGGAGGGGGTGAGGGGAGCGAAGGGGCTTGGGGGGGGGCTGCGCAGCGGCAGGTCCCCGTCTCCGTCTCCTTCGCCCCGTTGGAAAAAAATTCCCCACGTTGGAAAAGCTCAAGCCAAACCCTTCCTCTGGCGGGTGGGAAATTAGAAA